CCGTTCCTGGGTCCTGGGAACCCCAGCATTCATCCCTGCCTGTGGCAGGGGGTCAGGCTAGATGATCTGTTCAGGTCCCTCCTGACCCTGACTACTATGAAACTATGAAAGTAGCGTGCCAAAGGGGCCATTGCTACAGACCTGAAGGGCTATTCTGGAATACTGCACACTGAGACACTGCATTGCTATTTATCGTTATAGTCCACATCCTAAATTTGAGCCGTGCTCTGGTATTTATGTCCCTGTTTAATTAATTGGAGATCTCTGCTGTGGATGTGTAATTCTCAGACTCTACTAATGACCCAAGGTAGGAACCAATTCATTTCCACATGACGCTGGAATTGGTTTCCTTCCCACCAAGCTGCTTTTTTAAAAACCTAGGAAGTTACCTCCACAATCCTGCACTAAACATGAACATTTAGAACAAGCCAAGCACATAAAAAAGAGTAAGTGCTTGATTTAAGACTGCCCATGTCTGTGCAATCTGACAATCTCAATCATAGAATCATAGCAAATGAGGGTTAGTAGGGACCTTAGGAAGTCATCTAGTTGAACCCCCTGCTCAGAGCCCCAGGTAGATCATCCCAGCCAAGGCTTTTGTCTAGCCAGGTCTTCAAAACCTCCAAGGATGGAGAGTCCACCATCTCTCTGGGTAACCTGTTCCTGTGCTTCACCACCCTCCGAGTGAGAGAGTTTTTCCTAATATCCAACCTAAACCTCCCTTGCTGCAACTTGAGCCCATTGCTCCTTGTCCTGTCATCTGCCCCCACTGAGAACAGTCCAGCTCCATCCTTTTTGCACCTGCCATGCAGGGAGCTGAAGGCTGCTATTCAATCCCTTCTCAGTCCTGGAAGCATACATTTCAGGAAAGTTATGTCAGGGGCTGTTATAAAAAGAGAAGAAAGAAAGGAAATGAAAGAGGATCTAACAGAATCATTATTAAATGTTTAAAAAGGAAATTGAAGGTCAATCAGACTAGCTGTTTGTATGAATAGCACACCGCTGTTTGAATTGCAGGGTTAGGTGTCAGGGCAGTGCGGCCTTGGAAATAATGGTGGAACACTTCTTATTTTCCAATCTACTTCTTTCACCTGCTAGATGTCACAGATGTCTTTTAGCTCTACCTGTAACACAGCTGAAAAAACCAAAAGTGATGAAAAATGCGTATTCATTAAGCTCAGAAAACCTTCCAGAAGTGAACAAATTTCACAGCACAAACAGAAAAATATTTTGATTGAGATAGCTCTTTCTGTACTAATTGCAGCTTTCCATAGATCTCCAAGTATTGCTCATTTATCTGGTTGCTTTTCTCAGCCAGTGCAGTCAGTTATTTGGTCAGTTATTTTGGTTATTTGGTGTCCTTTGGTTTTTTGGATTTATATTTTTGTGGAGCAAATCAGAATTTAATAACCAGTGAGCTGTGGAACCATAGAGCCATGATCGTGATCAGAGAATAAATGTGTCATTCTTTTTCAGGACCCTACCCTTCACCAGAGTACTTAGAGCAGCAAGTTCTACAGGTAGCTTCACACTGCAATAAAAGAGGTTTCAGTTTTATTGTAAAGCAGCTTGTCTGATCGAGTGCCCTCTTGTGCTCATCTTAAGTGAAGTGACAAAGAAGATCAATGAAAAGCTGTTGTCGATGCTATTCATTAATCTTATCTTTTTGTTACAATATACTATATTTTATGCATTTGGACATAAGCGAGCTTTTTGAAACCCTGTGGAAACAGCAAGGTGCTAGCAAATCTATAGACATAGAAAGTGCTGCTTTAGTCAGACGGGTACTTTAGCCAGTGCTGCTTTAGCCAGAAGTGTGCTGCTTTAGTTGAATGGGTGCATTAGCCAGATGTGTGATAAAGGGCTTGCTTTGTATTGGGTTTTGAAAGACTATTCCAGACATGTCTGCAGAAGCCCAGAGGTGGAACTATTAACATTTACACCCGTGGCCAGCCTTTGCCAGTCGCCAGGAGTAGCCATTGCTATGGGGGCAGGTGACAACGCAGCCAGCACCCAGGGGCTAATGGACCTGCTTGCCCCAGCCTCTCTCTGCCAAGTGACGTAGCCAGTGAATTCTGCTGGCCATACTGATACCTCCAACACCTGAGCAACTATCTGGGCTGTTGGGAAACAGTCAGCCTCTGGGCCCCTTACCAAGTGGTGTGGTGAGAAAGGTGCTCCCTCTGAGTCTGTTCTGGTAGCCCCTTAGTCAGTGCTTGGGGCTTGTGCCCCATTTGCTCCCTCCTAGTTATGCTACTAAAATCAACTTTGGGAACAACTGTATACGGATATTTGGAAGTGGGGATTGCACCAAGATTGTCATGGATGAGGGGCTGATGGCACCTGGCCACACTATAAAGTTGCATCACTGCTGCCTCTTATTTATGGTACATAGTAAACTGCAGCGAGAGGCAACAGGCCTCCATATGTACTGTGCAGTAGAAAGGTGAGGTACTGCCTGTCTGCTTTTGGGGTTAGTTTTACTTGAGTCTTGAGTCCTTAAACCCCTTTTTGAGAATCAAAACCACACTATAGGTCTTAAAGCTGGAAGGAACCACTGTAGTTATCTAGTGTGATCTCTAGCACAGGGTTCCTGTGCATAGCCCATGATTTCAGGAGGTGCTAGAGCCTGAGGGAGACATCCAATCTCAGTTCAGTTTTTAAGAGACAGAGAGTGTACCGTCTGCCCTGTGGATCTGTTCCAGTGGTCAGTTATCATCACTTTGGAAATTTCCTTCTTATTTCTGGTTTGAACTGGGATGGCCTCTGTTTGTAAAATTAAAACAATTGCAAAATATCCCTATCCCTAATGCCGTTAACCTCCATGTATCATTTAACAGGCAGGAATG